CCTGTGTGTAGATGTCAGTGGTGTTGGAGGATTTGTGCAAGCACTGGAGGGCCTTGCTCATCATGGGGTCCTGGGAGAGAGTGGAGAGACATAAAACATTGCTTGCGAGACCCAAGCCCTGAGCCTGGCAGCCTGGCAAGAACCTAGTGTCCCTAAAATCCCACCCGTAGTCCATGCACCAGGTCGTGCTGTGTCCACGTCCCACCTTCTCTGAGCCCATCACTACCTGTGTCCATGCCTGAGCAAAGCCCCCCCCGCCCTCCATCTTGTGCCATCTTCCTGCTCCCTCTGACTTCTTTATCCCTGTACCCCAGGCCTATTGATGAACGGGTGTGAGTCCACAACCCCACTCCCCCCATGACACCATTTCTGACCCTGGCCAGACCTGACTCAGCCACTGATTCTTCCTGCTGCCTGAGCCCAACAACCATCCGGTGCTTCCTCTCATTTCACCCCCACCCCCTCCCTGGTACCAACCACCCCACTGCACCGTAGATGTCAGTGGTGTTGGAGGATTTGTGCAAGCACTGGAGGGCCTTGCTCATCATGGGGTCCTGGGAGAGAGTGGAGAGACATAAAACATTGCTTGCGAGACCCAAGCCCTGAGCCTGGCAGCCTGGCAAGAACCTAGTGTCCCTAAAATCCCACCCGTAGTCCATGCACCAGGTCGTGCTGTGTCCACGTCCCACCTTCTCTGAGCCCATCACTACCTGTGTCCATGCCTGAGCTAAGCCCCCCCGCCCTCCAGCCACACATGATCCATGGATTACTGCCGCACAAACAGCAGCTGCTCGCGTGAATGGGAGCGAGAGGAGGGCACACACCCTCTCAGGGAGAACTGCAGAGCCCCTCCGTCTTTAGTAGACACCTCCCAACGCTCCTTTGCGCTCAGGCCTGGAGGAGTGGGTTTGGTTCCAGGCACCTCCTGCCCCACTCCTGCAATCCCTATGTTCATCCTACCCTATTGCCTCCCCTGCACTTCACCCCTTCTGAGCCTCATACCTGCAGGGCGTTGTTCAGCAGTTTCCCCACACTCTGGAAGCAGCCGTTCTCCATCTGGTGCTGCTGCAGCCACTTGAGGGCATCCTCAATGTGCTGCTGGTCAATGAAGATGTAGGGTCTGGCTTGGCCAAAACACTTGACAACAAAGGCCGTCAGCCTGAGCAGGGAAGGATCCTGTTAAAGGCCTGCTCTGCTGGGGGGCTGTAGGTCAGGACGGGGATGCTGAGGTTGAGAATGGGGACACAGGCAGAGCTGTGTGGGCAGTGGGGGGCACTACTGGAACGTGGGGAATTAGGGTGCAGGCTTGAGATACATGGGCAGAGGTGTCCAGAGAGTAGGACTAGGAAAGCAATGGAGGGTTGAGGACTGGAACCATGTATCCTCTGCCTGAGCAACAGGCCAAATCCAGGGCCCCCCAGCCAGGGTGTCACAGAATTAAAGAATAAAAGGAGGGCATCTAGCTCAAACCTCTGCTCAAGGGAGGATCATCCCTGACTAAACTATCCTAGATAACCATCCTGGCTAACCTCCTCACAAACTTCCAGGGATGGATATTTCACCACCTCTCTAAGTATTCTGTTCCAGGGCTTAACCATCCTCAGAGAGTTCTTCCTAATCTCCAACCTAAATTTCCCTTTTTGCAACTCAACACCATTATTCCCCATTCTGTCTCTTATGGCCACGGAGAATAGTCTATCACCATTCTCTTTATTACTACACTTCCGGTATTTGAAGACCGTTACCAAATCCTGCCTCAGGCTTCTCTTCTCCAGACAAAAGAATCCTAGTTCTTCCAACCGCTCCTCATATGTCATGTTTCTTAGGCCTCTGATCATTTTTGCTGCTTTGTGCTGAACTCTCTCTAATTTGGCCACCCTTCCTAAAATACAGTTTTCAAAGCTGAAGAAGAGTCACCTCCCTTGACTTCCAAGTAACACTCCTGTTAATACCACTCAGCTTTTTTTTTTGCAACAAGAGAACACTTAACTCATATTCAGATTGTAATCCAGTATAACCCTGGGTCTTTTCCTGCAGTACAGCAGCCTAGCCACTCATTCCCCTCCTTATATTGAACATGTGATTTTTTCTATCTTAAGTACAGGATGTTGCACCTGTGCTTGTTGAATTTTATGCAGTTAACATTGGACCATTTGTCCAGTTGATCAAGGGAATTCTGTGTCCTAATCCTATCTTCCAAAGTGTCTGCAACTCCACTCTGCTTGGTGCCATGCTAACAGTACACATAATCCCATCTTCCAAATCATTACTGAAGATATTAGGCAGACCTGGACACAGGAGAGACCTCTGGGAAACCCCACTCAATACCTCCTCAGTCAAATGTTGAGTCACTGATGAGTACTCTGAGTACAATGATCCACATTAAGGTGGATGCCTTAAATCACTTTCTTCTAGGCTGTATTTTCTTATCATTAATAAGAATGCAATGGAAGACTCAAGAGCCAAGCTTAAATTGAGGTATATCACATCAACTGCTCTCCCCTGTCCATAAGGACCTTCTCTTTGTCATAGAAGGAAATCAGTTTGGCCAAGTAAGACTTAATCTTCATAAATCCACAAACTCAGAAAGAATTACCAGTGACTCTGCAATTGCCTCTGCCAGTTCCTTGAGGACTCTCGGATATATCCCATTTGACTACAGAGGCTTGAAAACATCCAGCTTTCCTTAGACATTTATAACCTGTTGTGTCTCAACTTAGGCTAATTATCTCCTCTCCTATCCCTGCTGCCAAATATGTGCATCACCTGACATCTGATTTCATTTATGTAGACTGAAGTAAAAGAAAGCATTAAGTACTTTGGTCTTTGCATCATGTGTTATGAGATAGCCCTCTCGATTCAAGAAGGGCCCTACAACATCCAAGGTACCAATATTTTTAGGTACATGTCTGGCAGTATCTCACCAGGTGTTGCCCGTGGCATCGCTCTTCCCAAAAGCGCTATAAGAGCCATCATTGTGCTTGTATGTCAGCTCACGCTGGTACCCTGCATGGAGGGGAGGCAAACAGCACATTCAGCATCCATCCACCACTGCCCAGGGCTAGAATCTATCCTGGTCTGATCCCTGATGGACTGCTGGCCCCTGCCTGGCCCTGGGGCTGAGACTCAGATGGGATCCTGGGTGCACCTGGCCCATGGGAAGGGAATTAAGCCTAAGCTGGATCCAGGGCCCCAGAAGCAGGTGATGCCTCCAAGCTTGGGAAAGACCATAATCAGGCCTCCCTGGAGAGGCAAGGTCCCCACCTCCCCATCTGAGATCCTGGGGTCCACAAGTGATCTTGCTGCCTGGGCCATGCCTTGCGGGAGGAACTGGGAGGACACTCACCACTCTTCAGGAAGCCCTGGGCCTTGTCTCTGATCTCTGGGGCTAGCTGGCCGCTCTTCTCCAGGTACTGCTGGATGTAGATGTTGGGAGTGAATCGAACCATGTTTTGCTCCCCGCAGCCATGTGGCATGGCCAGCAGGCGGTCGATGTTTTGCAGAGCTGCACCCATCATGTCACCTGGCACAAGGGAGTGAGGGGAGCAGAACATTACCAGCCCGCACAATTCCTGCCAGAACGTCATGATCCTGTGAGCCATGGGACCTGGGGGACTCAGTGTTCCCTGTTCAGTTTTTGCTTCACGAGTATGGCAGTGCATGTGACATGGACTGGCCAAGCATTTGACACCCTGGCAGTACCATGTGGCACCACTGCCCAACTTGAGGTCCTCATGTTGGCCTGGAAAGCAGTATATACCAAGTCTGAGGAGGACTTAAGAAGACCTGTGGGGAGTTGTGACATTATCTCCCAGAGGGATCTTGACACTGCAGTAGGGGAGAGGTAAGATTTTTCTCTTATTCCTTTCCTGACAGCCAGGTCCTTTTATCTGGGCACACGGCTACACCGGGACATGATGCAGCTGAGTGAGTCCCAGGCACCTCTCTGGCCTCCCTGCCCCATGGAATTGGAGACATGCTGGGAAAGGTTTCTGAGCTCCCCGGATCGTTTCCCAGACCCTGGCCCAGGATTATTCCCTTCAGTTGTGCTCTAGAACAGTTTGCTAACTTGGCGTTATGGGAGACAAACTAATAGGATGTTGTTAGCGCATGGCACAGCAGAAAGGCAGCAGACCTTTCCTAGAGGGCTTGGAGGCAGCTGCACCTGGCATCCTGGGTACCTGGTTCCCAGAAAGATGCAGGGAAATTGAAATGAGTCCATAGAAGGGCTGGGGCTTGAGCTGGGGCTGGAGGCAGGGCCAGGAGAGAAACTCAGCGGGTTGCAGTAAAGCTTCACGGTCTTCACAAACACTGCAGGGGTCACTGGTATGGGGATGGACCTTGGGGTTATATCCAGGATGGAGAAGAACTGATCATGGGAGTACACAGGCTGAATGTCAAGAAAGGCTCTCTGCCACTGACATACAATGGCTGGTGACATGGACAATAGGGGAAAAGTGTGAGTCCCAGTGGTGGAGGCAGGAAAATGCCCTGGAGAGGAGGCTGCAGGGATAGGTCCTGCCCTGGCAGGGACAGGCTGGGGATCCTTACCCAGGACAGTCACGTGGGCTCGCTCAGAGCCTGCCACTATGTTCCCAGGAATCGCCAGGGAGACGTTTTCTGACACTGTGTAAAATGGGGAAAGAGACAAAGCTGAGTCCTGCTGGGAAACTGCCCCTTCCAACCAACTGGAGCCATACATTTGTAGGATCATAGAAGCAGAGAAAGTTAGGGTTGGAAGGGACCTCAGGAGGTCAGTTAGTCCAACCCCCTGCTCGAAGCAGGACCAGCCCCAACTAGTTTTATAGATTCATAGAGTCGGAAGGGACCTCATTGGGCCATCTAGTCCGACCCCCTGCCCCTGGCAGGCAAGAAAAGAGTCACCAACCTCGGGGTCATGTGATCCGAGCCAGGTGCCTGTCCAGTCTCCTCTTGAAGACCCCCAAGGATGGGATGAGCACCACCTCCTTTGGGAGCCAATTCCAAATTCTGGCAACCCTGACTGTGAAGAACTTTCTCCTAATGTCCAGCCTAAACCTTCTCTCTAGTAACTTATGGCCATTGTTCCTTGTCATTCCAGGGGATGAACAGATGGTCGCCTACTTCATGTTGCTCTCCCCTTATACATTTGTACGCTGCCACAAAGTCCCCTCTCAGCCTTCTCTTGGAGAGGCTGAAGAGGTTAAGTTCCCTAAGCCTTCCCTCCTAGGGCCTTCCCTGAAGGGCTCTAATCAGGCGAGTGGCTCTTCTTTGGACCCTCTCCAGATTGTCCGCTTCCTGCTTGAACTGCAGCGTCCAGAACGGGGCACAGTACTCCAGCTGTGGTCTGAACCAATGCCGCATAGAGGGGGAGAATCACTTCCCTGGACCTGTTTGTGAAGCACCTACGGATGCACGACAAGGTGCGATTGGCTCTGCCAACTGCTTCATCACATTGGTGACTCATGTTCTTCCTGGAGTCAACAGTGATCTTCCGAGACAAAGCGTTATCTAGCCGGGTCTTAAAAACTTCCCAAGATGAGGTTCCACCACCTCTCTGGGTAACCTGGCCCAGTGTTTGACTACCCTTCTAGTGAGGGTTTTATTTCCCTAATATCTAATCTAAACTTCCCTTGCTGTAACTTGAGACCGTTGCTCCTTCTTCTCTCATCCACCAGCACTGAGAACGGTCTAGCTCCATTGTCCTTCGAACTTCCCTTCAGGTAGTTGGCCCTTTCTGGCCTCTGAGAGAAACAGTGAACCATGGACATGGGGGCAAGCAAGAGGGATGTGGATCTGTCCCCACACAGTCATAACCAGACTAGGATCCACAGCTGGATGTACTGAAGCCTTAAGCCAACTGCACAGGGTGCCACTGATGCCCTCTACAGGATGCATTTTCCACTGAGTAGCTGTAGACCCAGCCTGGTGTCCCACGACCTCGGCTCTCTGCAATGGAGATGTCTGAGATTGAGCACAGCAGAGAAACGGCAGAGCTATGTGCTGGCCCCTCCCCTACCAGGGTGGGATGCTGGAATCCTACCTTCCTGGCAGAGCAGGGAGCTGTGCGCCTTCTCCTCCAGGATCCCGCCCGGCTGTGGGGAAGCAGCATCAGACAGAAGGTCAGGAGAAGGCACTGCCCATACCGGAGCCTGGCTGGCCCTTGGACCTCTGTAGGTATCGCAGCCTCAGCTTCCACTGGGCACAATCTGCCTGCCAGGCTGCGCTGGGCTGGGGCCATCTAGATATCAGCACCTCAGGTCTAGGGCTCCCACCACTTCCTAAACAGACTGTTTGGAGCCCAGTGGTCACATCACATCGCACGCCCACTGCGGCTAACACCTAACCCTGCTGTGAGCTCCCATATGTCAATGTGACAAGGCAGCACTTGACTGGGCAGGCAGATGGACAAATTTATGGCAAGGATTTGTTTTCTGTGGCAAGACGAAAAATATCACAATGGGCAACTTGGTCTGTATCTGCTAAGAAGGAAGACAGATATACCACCCCCTCTCTGTGTTGTCCGATTGAGAGATGGACCCTGGCCAAACTGACCTGGACATGCAGGGGCTTTATCACAGTGTCCACTCTCCCCTGGGCAGGTGCTATAACCACCTCATTGCCACACAGCTCCTGGGTGTGCAGGGCCTCGGTGCTGACAGTGAAGTTCACTTCCCCTGCAGAGAAGGAAGGGTGATGTGAGGAAGGAAAGGACAAGTGAAGGGTAGACTGTGTTAAAGGCTGAGTTGTGTGGGAGGAGTTTCCATTTAGGGGCAGCTTTCCTCTCCCCCAGCTCTGGCTGTCCCCCCGCTGACTTGGGGCACAGCCAGACCCCTTACCAAGGCTGGTGGCTGTCACCTCCCACTGGAAGGTTTTCCCCTCTTCTGCACAGAGGCAGCTGGTGTAAGCGCTCTCCTCGCCAGCCTGTGCCTGGAACTGCGTAGACTCCACCAGTGTCACCTGCACCTATGGGACCCAACATGAGACCTCTCTTAGGGTTTCTTGGACATGCTCACTCAGCAGCTCCAGACAGGACGTAGCACCTTGGGGCTCAGGCTCAGCTCATTGCCAGGTGCTGACACCAGTGGGCCCCTGGGTCTCATCTCCTGTGGCTGCTGGGTTACGTTTGGCACCACTGGCACTACTGCTCAGAGGCACCAGATCCAAGGAATGGGACCACATGGCCTTAGCATGTTATTGTAACTCTGCTCACCTTGATGCATTGCAGCAGGTAGTTGAAGACAGTGGCCTTTAGGGTGAAGGCCTCTCCACGGATCACAGAACATGGCAAGGCCAGCTCCACAAAGAACGGCTTGAAAGCTGTCAAGGTGGCCGTGGAGGAAAGTCCAAAGCCAACATCTGCCGTGCAGAACATCCCGGCCTTCCACTCTGTGATGCTGTCAGGGACGGTGACTGGGACATTGTTGGAGCCCTCCTCGCTGGATAGTACGGACACAGAGTAATGTCAGATAGACATAGCCCAGGTTTCCTTTGATTGCCATCCCAGCCCTGAGCCAGGATGGTACTGTTTCTGCTCCCTTAACTGGAGTAGCTGAGCACGTAGAAACAGGTGTCCAGCATGAGTTCTTGTGTTTGGGAATTAGTTTCCTGCCATTGAAATTGCTGGTCAGGGCACACTTGGTGGCAGGCGGTTGAGGGGTTGTGAGCCTGCCCCTTCACTGGACAGTGCAGGCACCAGCAGATTAGTGAACACAGAGGTGGACATTCCCTGCTGGACATGGCCATTAAAGAGGACCCTGCCTGACCCTCCCTTTCCCTGATGTGGACCACAGGGGAGGCTGCACAGAAATACGCCAAGCCCAGACCTTTGGACTAGGCAGAGTTGTCAGTGGGATCTTTTCTTCATTTCTTCCTAATGCACTCAGGTCAGAAAATGCTGGATCTGCCCCTGAGGCTCTAGGGCTCTCTTCTTCCCAGAGAGAAACCTCCCAAGAAATCCTACCCTGGACCCATCTCATATACCTGGACCCATCGCATATACCATTCGTGGGTTTCCTAATGCCTTTCCCTCTTTCCTGCTACTGGGATTTGGAACAGCTGCCCAGAGAGTGATCCCATGTCCCTACTGCCTTTTTATTTCCCCTCCCTTGTGTTGGCCTCCTCTCTTTTGCAATAGCGTGCTTGAATGAGGTGAGCAGCACACCTGCCCTTGGTGCTGGCTAAGAGGGGGCACCCATATGGCCCCTTCCCATCCAGAGAGCAGCGCTGTGCTGCCTGGCCATAGGAGTTTGGCAGATATAGACCCATGCCCAATAACATGTTCCAGAGGGGGTTGCAATGTTGGCCGCCTGCCCCTGGGGAGGTATGGCCACGGAGGTGGGGTGTGAACAGGGCACCAGGAGTGCTGGG